CCAATTCTGCAAATATATTTTTCATTCTAAATTAAGTACCCGCTTTAATGTGGTACTCTTCACAAAAAAAAATTATGCCGGCGGTTACTTTGTTCTAATTCGCTTCTTCCTTGTTTTACCATTTACACAGTGTCAGAAATTTCGAAATGCACACTGTGTCTTATTTTTTGTGTAGAATGTGTCTGCTGTATAATGGTGTCCTCACATTTCGTCGCAACATGGATTACTCAGAGCATCAGCAATGTGCGTACCTTTTACGTAGAAGCATAATATACATTTATGTGAACATATATGCACTATTCCGCTTTCGCACAAAATCGTTGCTTCGGCATTTTTATTCTTCGGTTACACATATCCCATTATGGTAAAGTTCAGCGCAATGCTTCCCACATTATTTAACTATAGGCCACATTACATCGCTCCGTATGCTATACTGCGTTCACCTTCATCGGAATTAGTACTAAAACTATTATAACTGCCAAATATTAAATCTCCTGCTAGAGGCTAATATTTATATTGAAGGTCCCGTCTTATTCGTTTCCGTCTTCGTGAGAACAGGTTCCCAAGTGGAGTGAACTGAACAAAAAGACGAGATCAAAGTAAAGTTAAGTAGAACAACTTAAAACAACGTAGAATAACATAACAGGGAGTAGAACTAAGCATAGTAAAAAATGCTTTGATTATGTAATATGTGTGAAAAATATTTAGTACAATAAGCAGCGTTTTTTTGTTATTACCTTCATTAAAGCTGTTACAAACATTGTGATGCTGAATGCAGAAAGAAGTGTAAACACACCAATTTTAATCCATGGAACTCGTTGTTCACTTTTCAGCATTGGAGAAATACCATCATCCTTTTGTATTTTACTTGGAACACCTGTGAGTTGTTTTGAGTGAGTTGCAATTACTGTATTCTCACTTTTCCGATTTTCTACTGCATCCGGAAGCTTCACCATGTCATATTGCACTAAGTTTGCACCTTTCTGATTATTGCTAGTCATGAACGGTTTAACGTACTTAGCATACTGTCCTATGAATATTTGACGTGCGTTCTCATAATCATTGAACAAATCTACAACCTTTTTATAACAGGGATTCAACCACCATAGAACATATAATCCTAATGCTTGACTTCTTGTAACGAGATTCGTTGGATCATAAAAGCTATAACCTAGAATATAATTTGTACAAGGGTTACGTTGTTCCCTTGTACATAAGCGTTCAAAGGCTAAATATAATGGAATTCTCTCCTTAAGATAATCAAAATACGCTTCACATGCATAATATGTGCTTTTACCAATTTCTCCTTTAATGACATAATAATCTTCAATGTAATCCATAAAATTCTTCACCCTCTTCATATATTCCAGGAAGTTATC